TTTCCCGTGAACTGTATTGCATGCTGACTGCTTTCTCGCTCAAACGTAATACCCTAGAAGTCTTTGTCTCTCCACCGGCCCCTACCGCTGCTTCGAGCAGGCAACGCTGATCCGCTCGCTGGAGGCGCTGCTCGTCCTACCCCGACTCTCTTTTCCTCCACAGTTTTTCTCCCCCTCCAAGAGCAACGCAAACCTTCTTTCCTCTCCACCAGCCAGCTCTTTCTCATCTGCTGCTCCCATCCCCGCCACCACTGCTTCTCTTACCAACCGGACCGCACGAGAATACATATTTTACAGGCATTCATGATGGCCGCCGCGCATCTGTGCAAACCTGTCTGCCTGGCCTGCCTTCAGACAGGCTCGCCTTCTGAGCACTAGACAGAGCTGCTGGCCCGGCCTTAACGTGTCTTTTCTCTTTCTGCACTTTTTCTTTTCTTTATTTTTAATTCTTTTTTTCTCTCTTCCTTTTTCCCTTAAATTTCGATTGCAACGATTACATTTAGAATATTCGTTGTAAGATCAAAATTTGAACTTTATTTTTGTTGCTAATAAACTAATAATAGTTAACAATGGAAAAAGAGAAATTAAAAGCTGAAATTAATATTTACAGAAATTTATTAGTTCCATGTGAAATTATTTTTTGGATCCAAACATAATCTAATTTAATCTAACGTAATCTTTTAATGGTAGAAATTACTGAATGTACAACAAAAAGTTCTTTTCAGTCCCTTTTCGACTATCATAAGTTTTATTATCCACATTCATCGTTTTCAATAAAAATAAAATAAGTCTCGAATTTCTCGAATGCTTCGAGAATTTATACGCTCACAATCGGTCCCAAGCTAATCTTGCAGCTTCACTTTTTTATCGATATCTTGAAAAAATCGTGAATCGATCATGTATGGCAACGACGGAGAAAAGTGATTCTGACTTTTTTCGTGAATCGGTTTCAGGGTAAGTGATCGTATTCGGTTACGAGGGCTTGTATTGCATCGGATGTATATCTATAGGTTAGCATTATTGATCCCTTTGTGGGACTGGATTCTTGAACGTTTCACGCGTGCTTTGTGTTCGAAAGGTTCCCCATATAACTTCCCTTCCGTCCAGGATTCTTTCACTTCGACCTTTTTTCATTCTTATCGTTTCCAATTTCTTTCTCGAGTAGCGTCGTTGACCCAGAAGCTTCCTTCAAATTTCGTACCTCGAGCGCTTGAACGATGTCCCAAAGAGATTCAAAGACGGTTTGAAACAATCGCTAGCCTCGCAGACGCCAGACGGCCATGCTTACCAGGCAATCGACACGCATAAAAGTGGACAGGCGTACGGCGGCGCAAATCACGACCACGAATGGCAGCTGTAACTGCGTAATAAGAGTGCTTGCCATTCGCTGTTAAAGGTCTTAGTTCTCTAACCGAACACTGCGTAGCGATGGGTTCGATCCGTTGTTTCGAATCGATCGAAATTTGAAATTTATTCATTCCAATCCACGTTTTCCACGTTTTGTTATTTAACTTTTGATTTCGGTAATAAAATTATAATTTTCAAATTCAAATTAACGACAGATATTATTGTATGCATAAGAATAGTTGGTTAGTCCGACGGAAACCGAGAAATGTCCAATTTTGTTTTATACAACACATTTTATTTAATCAATTACTTATAATTCGTATACAGAACGAGTTTCAAGAGGTATTACAATATTAAAAATAAAAACATAGAAGTATGAAATATTTCTTATGATAAAATAAAAGATATCAAGATTATCGATTATTCTTTTTAACGAGAAATTGCTTCATATCTTAGTAATAGCGTTCTGCTCGTTTGATCTTAGATTATTTACGTATACGTATTCAAGTACATAGGCGCGTAAAGAAGAAGTATTCATTTGCGCTAATTTTTTGCAATTAACAAAATTGAAAGAAGGGAATAAAAATAATTTAGAAACGACGAAAGATGAAAGTCAAGAGATTGCCGCGTCGTCATTTATTGTCTGCTCAATAGCCGAGTCTGTATTTAAACTTCTTATCGTCATAACGATTCGATACAAGCTAATTTATACAAAGAGTTAGTATCGCAATACCATAAAAATTTTCAGTCACCCGGATACACTTTAATTCGTGCCATGACTCATAGTAAAACCAGTTTCGTTCCTTTTATTCCTCGTGTTAGGGATTTTCTTAGAGATTGTGTTTGCATCCCGCGAGCGTTTGCGCGAATAAATTTATCGACGTTACGCGCGAGGCATGCAGAAAACGTATCGCGTTCCTGCAATTAATTCGAGATGCAACCGAGACACTAGCCGATTCGTTAGCGGAAATAAATGTATTTTATGCACTTTTTCTTCCCCTTTCTCTTAATCGTGTTTATACAATTTTTACGACCAAATTAATTATCGCGTTTCGAAATTTGTAACAGATTTATATGTTTTTTTTTTTTTATCTTAGGGTCATAAATTTTTGAAATTTTGATTTATTGGAATAATGAAATAATAAAATTTTCTAATTTTAATCGTAAATTTAATATGATTTAAAAGATTTAAAAAAAGATCGGTAATTTGATAAAAGAAGTGGTGCAGTTAGTTTTGTTAACGTGACACCTACCTAAGGTGGAAAAGAGTTTTGATGAATGATATATTAATATGATAATATATGAACGTATGTCGTGACAGCCGGAAATTTAAGTTTTCCTCCCACGTTAGCCTTCACATTCTATGTTATAAGTGCCATTATAAATGGCTGTTACAAATTCGATATTATTAATCTCTCAGCGTTCACACTTTTTTTTTCCCCCCCTAAATTTTTGAATAATAAATTGAACGATTGAATAAAAATAAACGTGATTTATCTCCCACGAGTTTTACGTGTTTTGATATAAGATATCGTAAATTTTCAATGCATAGCAATCAATGACAAAAATAAGTAAACAACGTGAAATATTTATTAATAGTCGAATGACGGTATCAAACCACTTTTAACTTACGCTAAATTTGTAGTATTCGAATTATGAAATAAAATTTAGAAATTTTATTTTTAAATTATATTTATTTGCAAATCAAAATTTGTAAATTACAATATTGATCCAGCACATATTCATATATACTCTTAAAATTAATTAACAATCGGACAATGGATGATCGAAAAATTTTAGATTTGATCATTTCATTTGATCCGTATTAAATTCACATTCTAAATTCAATAAATTATATTTCGAAAATGTTTCAAATTTTCCTGCAAATAAAAACTTTTTTTTATTACAATTCTATTCTTCCAATATTTCTCCAAAATTAACGAATTATTCAAAATTGTTTTAAAAAAAATTCATCACAAAATCCACAAAACAATAATTGCTAGCAAAACACGATAAACGTATGTACAAGTAAATACCTAACCTAAGCTAACATAACCTAACCGCTGTACCGCGCACATCGCTGTGCCTCGTCATTATTATAATTACCGTAAACCATTCCATTCCGTGCACAGACCGTCGTCCATTATGGCTCCACGCAGACTCTAGCTCACCGTTCCGACCCCCTTTTTCCTCCTTTTTTCCCCCGAGTTTTACGACGGTTTACCGAGCGATGCGTGGCAAGTTATTGCCTCCGATTTTAACGTGGAACTCGGCTAGTCCCTCGAGAATCGACTGCCTCTACGTTCGACCGTTCGAATCCCGTGGGTGCGACAGGAGCTGTGTGTCTCTCCTCTCAAAAAGAGAAAGGAAAATGAGGAGTTGGGACTCTCTCGATGCCCATTTACGCATGATGTCTCGTAAAAAGATGGCCAATGGAATATATTACTCGATGGAACGTGGATTTTCATTCAGAAGTTTTTAGCGAAAAAAGAAAGAAGCATCATGGCTGGTATTCCAAGTATTGGCAAAGATAATTATTATGGTTATTATGGTATGGGTAATAAGAATGAGCATGGTGGGTATTGAACGTCGATGCAGACACTTTGAGTAGATAAGATTTGTGGAAATGTATTAACGAGATATTTTGCGAGATACTTGCGGGATATTTGCAATATGATGGATTACCTTCACTCAGAATTAAGAGAAATTTATTTCATGTAATAATTTTTTTTTTTATAAATAATTCAGAATATTTCAGATAATTATTTATTATATTGTAAGAAAAATTTTATACTTTTTCTCAAATTTTGTCTAAAGTCTCTGAATTTATTTTTTCACCGAGAAATTGCTTTTTTTTTTTAATTACAAAGAGAAACTTAAGAACGCATTTGAAGATGTCAGGTAAAGATATACCTGAAAATAATTATCCAAAAATATTTTTACTTCTTTTATTATCTCTCCATAAAAAACTATTCAACGGTTCACTTCAGTTTACAAAAGTTAAATAATATCCCTATTGAACAAGAACTTTTCTTAAAAATTATCTTTGTAGATTATTTCTCTACAGAAAATATTCTAACAGAAAGTATATTTGAAGTTGTATAAGTAATCTTTTATATATAATTAAGATTTTGATTAAAGTTTTCGATTCTTCATTATATGAGAAACGTATCAGAATGGTGTGGGTGACGGTAGAATAAGACGGTACAGCTATATATACTTACAAAAGGATCATCAGAAATCGAACGAATGGTGCGGTGCACATGCCACAGATGGCAGCAGCTAACAAGGTAGTCGAACGAAGTTCAATAATCGAACTTCGAGAAACTAACCGAAATCTACAATTGCGAATCCATTTGAGAGTAAAACTTTCATGAGTTTGTTTGAAATTTATTTCAAATTTTTTCGAATTTTATCTCTCATTACAGGTATTGGACTTTGAAAATTATTTTAATTTTTTGATAATCACTCTTAATGCAATGTTACTTCTAAAGAATACTCTCGAAAGTTCTACGTATTACGAACTTGTACTTTACGAAAAATAATAGAAATATATTCTGTATATATATATATATATATATAGAATATTATATTAAAATAAAAGAATGGTCGAATATCTTTGTTTATTATGAAAAAATAAAGAATATTTGTTGAAGTAGGATCCAAATTAAAAATTAAGTTATTCCATCGTTACATCACCGTTTTCACAAAATTACATAGAGAGGAAATTAACATTTGGGGTCGGACTGGGTTATTCGAAGGAGATAATGCAACGATCCAAGCATTTAATTAGCAGGAAGACTGCTATATTTACGGCAGACGCTCCAGATATCTTGTAACCTAAGAGGCATTCTAATCTCGTGGAATTTTATCTGCGATGTAACGACCTGTCGTTTGTCAGTGTGGCTCTCAGTGCGCGGCCAAATCCCTTTTTCATCTAAATTCCTTCGTAACCGATAAATTTTCAACATTCATGCTGCTTGTTCAAAGACCGGTAGTAATTTCTCTTTCACCGTCGTCATTCAACCCCCGCAAAGTGGTTTGACAACTGTCTTATCGCGTGGAAAAAACGCACTGTCGTCACAGAGATAATAAGAAACAATAAAAACATAAATTTGAGTCGATCAACCCTCGACACTTTACTATCTAGTAAAAAAAATCTTTCTCCAACTTTTTTTTTTATTTTTTAATCAACGACACAAATCAAACTGACGTTTAATAAAATTTATTCAATGTGTTCACAGATAAATAATGCCAGAAGAAAAACCTATAAAGACGATTTCACGAGAAAAAAATCTTGAAAATGGCCAAAGTGACTTCAACCAAATAAAAATCAATTCAAGAACGAATGAGAGGATGGAATAAAAACGGTGGGTGACAAACAGAGGATCCGTAGTTTTTCGCGAGACGAAGCCTAATAAAAACGTTAGGAACCTACCGTGAGGTGTTTTAAGTTTCAAGCCGGCTGGTGGCGCCAGGCTACGCTACATTCTGTCCAGGGGTAGCGCAAAGCTCGGTCTATACGCCGATCTCGGTGTGGAGGGGAGGCTTGTGCCGGGATATCGCACACAGACACTGTAAAATCAAATTCTACACCGACTCACGTTTGTAGGGATGGCGCAGCTCGAACTGGCCACCGAGCGGAAGGAGAGAAGGACTATAGGGACACAATGGAGGAGCGAGCGAGATAAGTGGACGAGGATGAACCGATGGAGAGGGATAGGTTGACCCTGCCAAGAGACCCGGTCAAGAGAGAGACAGTCGTATCAGAGGAAAAGGGACAGCTACAAAGGTGTAATTCGATTCCGTTCTCAGATAACAAAGCGAGCTGCGCATAGAGTTAGAAAAGAAAAAGGATGCGAAGCAGGTTGATTGCGGGAGAAAGATGCAAGGAGAGAGGGGTTGGCCGACCCTGAACAAGTGGACGAATACCAATCGCCAGGTGAGAGAAAGAGATGAAACAAATTGAATAGGACGACCTACGAGGAGAGAGAGACAGAGAGAAGCGTATACAGTCCAACTCTTTAGTGACAAAGATCATGCGAAGAGAGATAAAGAAGGGAGAAATGTCACTTCAACGACGAAGACAGTATAAAGAGAGACAAAAAGAAAAGAAGTTTCAGCGACGAAGGTTGCATAAAGATAGACAAAGAGAGAACGAAAGCTTCACCGTCGAAGCTGAGACTATACATGAGAGACAAAGAGGAAATAAAAAGTAGATAGAGAAGGAGTGAATACCACTAAGAGGAAAGAGAGGGAGAGCGAGAACGAGAGAGAAGGGTTGATCGACCCTGCGCGTTATCAGAAACCGCCCCTCCCTAACTCCACTATACCACCCCGTCTTTATATACCTCATATGTATGTGTAACCGTAGAATGTATATGCATCGACGTGCGCAGTGGTGAAGACCAATACACAAATAACGAAGCCAGCGTCCCTAGGCGCAGCCGGGCACAGAGCGACGCCGTATGGCGTCGGCGTCGCGAGCTCGACCCCAACTTCTCTCTTTCTGTTTCTCTCCCTTTCTCTGTTTCTCTTCGGTTAACTCTTCTTTCGGCCAACGTCACACCGGAAGATCACAGTGTGTACACACTTCTTTGCGATCCTCGCGCTCTAAGGAACGATCATACCGACGGAACTGGACGAAGAGAAAAGGTGCGAGAGAGAGAAATAAGGATAAGGGGAGAGGGAAATGGAGAAGTGTGCGCGCGAGAGAGAGACAGAGGGAGGGAAAGGGAGCAAGCTCAGGAGCAGTAAGGGAGAGAACTTTCGTTATCGCGCCGCGAGTGACGCGCTGCCCTCGGAGCGTCGCGACGCCGCCAGACGCCCGACAGTCGTCAGTCAGACGCGCCACGGTTGTCTCGTACACTGACCGGTTTTCATAACCGCCGCTGCACTTCGCGCTCGTCCTTCGAAGGATCCGCGTATTCTTCCTCCACGCCTCTCTCTCTCCTCTTCCTTCCCTCTGTTTTCCTGTGTCGCAACCAGAAGACCACTCGGTAAAACTTTTCAACCATAGACACCGACCGGACATCGTGCGTACGTACGTTCCTTCTTTTCTGCATTCTTCCGAGCCACGACTCGCTTTTCTCCTTTCTCCCCGGTGTCCCGTCTCTGTTACGAGTCGTGGCTCGTGGACACGAGTCGCGCACCGTGAACGTCACTCGTCGCACGTATACCGAGCCGAGCTGTCATTCTCGAGAAACCGACTGCTTTCAGTGAATGACACCCGCCGTATTCGACTGAATTTTCAACGTGCCTGGGCTATGCTGAATTTTTCAACTCGGTGGATATTCTGAACGGACTTATTAGAAGTTGGCCTATACATCGACAGAGAGAATGGATTAGAAGCTGTTTGACAGTGGAAAAGAGGTTAGTATGAAAATTTTAATTGTTTAATTTTTTTTGTTTTTAGTTGATTTCATATTAATAACAATCTTGTTTAGGATTGTGGAGAAGGATATTGTGCATGGCTCTTGAGGATATCGTTACGAAAAATTTTAGATCACCCTAGTACCCTAATAATAGGCAACCGGATTGACATAATGGTAAACCGGGCGAACAGGTATCTCTGAATTTTCGTTCTGTTCCTATTGTACTTCATTTATTTCATTTTTATCAATTGTATATTTTTCAAATCGATTCATTGTTTTTCGAAACATCTGACATTGTATCTTTTTTCAGGTTTAAATTATATGCAAATTGCATACGATCTTCAAGCGATAAATATCATCGTCTTACCTTCGTTTCCAGCATAGTTTCTTCTGGTGTTGTGGAATAATCGAGGTCATTATGCATAAATGACGTCTTCGAATGGATTATCCAATTCTTGGCAAGTTGATTCAAGATGTGTTTTCGGATAGTGATAACTGGGGCCATATCTCGACGAGGAATGTGAAACCCCCTGTACGTATACTGAATGTATCCTGAGTGTATTTCTGTCCGGTATACCTTCAGTATACGTAACAGGAGGCTACACCGAGCTACGCTGGACTGTCATCATGGATCTCGTTGATGTCCACCGGTAATCGTAAATCCATTTTAAACGGATTACGATGCGATAGTTATCTTTATTACCAATACGATTTAAACCACTTGTGTACATCATCGTCTTGCATAAATTGAAATCGTAACTTATTATGTTTATTATGTATGTTGTACATATTTATATTCGACGACTGAATTACAATTCGATTGTATATCTTGTTAAAACTAATGGAACTTGTTAGGTTATGTGTTTACTTGCTTGCGAGAGAAGGAAGTGAGGTTAAAATAAATGAACAATCGATGTTATAAATTATAGTTTGTGTACTTGAGAAAGAAATGATTGTTAGGTTATGTAAGTTGCGATGCAGAGGAAGTGAGGTTAAGGTAATTGATTTTATGGATGATTGTAGATTGTTTTGTATGATGATTATTGAAATATTTTTAAAATAAGAAAATAAGTTAAAAAAAGTAGATAGGTTTTAAAAACCTTTTTGATGAAATTAGTATTTAAAATTTGTAGATTGAATTTGAATCAATAAATGATTATGCAAAATAATTGTCAACATGATGCATAGCAATTGCCTGTAAGAATTATGCGAAATCCTATATTCGATCTTTTATTTATGTTATATGTTATATAATCTGACATTTCATAAATATCATTGAACTTAATATCGTTTTACGAATTCCTAATTGTTAGTAAAAATGGAAAGATTAGAAACAGAAAAGTTTTATGATATTTTGAAAAATAAGATTATCAAGTAGATTATATAAAATGATCCTGAAATTTTTATTAAAGAATTTAAAAGTACAGTTCGAGAATTAAAATTAGCAATGAATTCTTATAATTATAATTTCAATTGCAAATATAAATTATTAATATTAGGAATATAAAAATTATAAATTTTATATTAAACTATCTCTGATATGCTGATATAAATAATATCAAGCAATATTTCTTCAACTTCTCAATATTTCTACAATTTAGAGATAATTAACGATCTTTTTATTAACTTAGAATTACTTGGGATCCAATTAGCAATCAGCAAATATATTTCTTAATGTATTATATCAAATATATTACTACTATATGGAAATTAAATCATGCTTTTCAACTTTTTAATTCCATTCTATATGTAACTTGAAGAAAATAAATATAATAACGTATTATATCATTAAATATATTTTTAAGCAGTTAACAATTAAATATAAATTAAATATCATTCATCTCAAAGAAAATAATAGTAATTTCTATTTCTAATTCGATCAATAATATTTGTCATTTGAAATGATTCGATTTATTAAAATTTGAATAAATTTCTTGATAAATTAATACTTTCCAAAACATTTCAAGAATTCATTAAAATTTTACTTCTCGACGAAATCGTACTTTTCGAAACTCGAATACTCGAAACTTTGAAATCTAAATTTGAAAAATTTCCGGAAAAAAAGTTTTCTCAAATTTCAATAGTTAACAAAATAATATTTTTTAGAAAATAAAAAAGGAAAAATAACCATTTTAAATTTTAGAGTTTCGACTTTCGTAAATTACGAAATTTCACAAAGAAGTCCTCAGATTAATCTAATCTCCGCATCGTAAATCGACATCAATATTTATTTTAAAAACAGAATTTTAAAGAGATAAAGAAATAACAATCAAATCAGATTAAAAATTCGCATAGGATCATTCATCAAACACGAAATAAAATCATTTACGAGTTCGAACGAAGTTCGCCGATAAAAGCCGAACGAAACAAACAACAAGATATAAGTCATCTCGTTTCAATCACCCTCTTTAATCTTTCTCAAGACACGATGGAGGTAACTATTTCGCCCGTGTCGAACGTACAACTTTCTCTTTTTAGAGGCAATCGTAAAAAAGGGTTGAAGACAGGCCATCTCGACCGATTCGCCCGCAATCGGCAAAAGGGTTGGTGAAAGTAGACTCCGGCAATAAAAATGTTAAAAATTCGAAAGTCAAGAAAGGGTTGGCCGTGGATAATGGGCAGGGATGGAATTTCACTTTCTTCTCCAGAAGCACGAACCGAAAACGAACGGTCAGTTCACTTTGCATCGTTGTGCGTACTATTTCGTGATTTTAAAATCTGGAAGTGACTTTTTTTTTTATTTTCTTTTTTTTTTCGCAGTTGTTAATCGGTTTATGGCGTCTTGTAAAAGGACCCGAAGTGTAACATCTTGTGGTGGAACAGAGTAAGTATCCTATACCTGGATATTTGGTTACCTGCTGTTAAGTTAATATACTCGATGACCCTCGTTTAACTAATAATCATTTTTAAATTACCGGTTAATTAGCCGTCCATTCTAATAAAGTAATCTCATATTTGAAAAAAAAAAACTTTCATAAATGCACGGTTAACTTGGACACTTTTTAGGATGCCATGATAATTTCTTTTAGGGATGATGCTTCGTTCGAAGAGACGAATTTTCAACATTAATGCAAACAAAATTATAGAATGGTTCATTTTGACCACTCTTGAAATTTAGAAAATTTATCTTTTGAATTTACAACAAATTGCAAAATTACTTATAATTGTTATAACTAAACTATTTATTTATTTTCCTAAGTTTTTATTTTTACTTTCTATTCTTATTTCTTTGCCAAGCTGCTTCTAATCATTGTCTCTCAAAAATATAAATGTATTATATCTCTGAATTGAATCAATATGTAAACAAAGAAATTTTTTCGTAAATAAATTAGGGGACGAGGCACGGTTCACCATAGATGATCGCGTATGCAGACCTTGCGTCACGGACAAGTCGCATCTGGATCATTGAACTCACTCGAACCGTCTGTCCAGGGACAAAACAGCATCGAATTATGCATTCTCGAAACCCTCGTCGACGCTATTTCTTGCTTCTTTTTTTTTTTTCTTCCGCTTCCTTTCTTCTCTATTTTTATCTCTGCTCGAACGTGTGTACGGGAGAGAATATTCCAGGATGAAAAATTATTTATAAAATTCTTGCGAAACTTTTTGAAAAATTTTTCCGCTCGAAATTGCTGGATGGAATTTTGAAAAATTTAGTCACTTTGATTATTCCTCGAAATTCCAGGAATTTAAATTTTAGAAAAATTTAAAAAAAAATTTCAACCAAATCTTTCCAAGTGCAATTTTATCACGCGTGTGAATATTCGATAAATTGCTTAACAGCTCTCTTCTTTTTTTTTTTTTTTTTTTTTTTTTTTTTTTTTTCTTTTTTCTTTATTTTTTTTCTTTTT